TGAGCCCAGTGTTGTGGTGCAGCCCGGGAAGCCAGCCTTGCGGCTTGGAGAACATGAGAGGGGCTCCCCTCCCCCTGCAGTGGGTACAATCCGGAAGGGGCCTCCCCTGCCCCCCGCCCCCCAGCAGCCAGAATGACTCTGCAGAGACTCTAAAGCATTTCTCATCTGAGGTTCTCTGCCCGGAACACCCCCCTGCCAGACCACAGCTGATAAGGTTCCAAGGAGGCTACACAGAGCCAGGCAGGGCAGGATGCAGTGCTCCCAGGGCCTTGGGTCATCCACATCCCCCATACAGCTCTGCCTCAGCCACCTGGATGCATCCTTCATGGCTCCCACCCACAGAGGCAGGGGAAAGATGGGTGTCACAGGTCTTGGCTTCTCTTACCCTGGAGATGGAGAGTGGCATGCTGAAATCCTTCCCTCCCTGCAGCCTGAAGCCCCAGGGCGCTGGCCCGTTCAGCATCACCTTGTAGGACTCCATATCACCCATCTCTGCAAGTGAAGAAGGTGTGATCCTGGCATTAGGGTTCATGGGAACAACGGGAAAGCAGACAAGGAGGAGGACCAGCTTCCAGCAGGAAGAGACAGGTCACATTTTTAGCAGTAACTCCACCCTGACCATCCTACACTGCGGTTAGAGACGCACCCCAAATCTATCAGCATCTCCTCCAGCAGCATCGGAGCCAAGGGGCCCAAGCTAACATTGACTAGCACCAGAGCGACAGGCACAGCCACACTACCACCCACAGCAGAGCACCCATAAGCTCTGCTCTCCCACTCCCAAACCAAGGACATGCTCTTCCTTGCAGCACCCCAGAAACTCCCGCTGCTGAAAGCGAAGATCATTTCAGATCACAGAGAAGCAACAGCAGGTACAGAAAGAAGGGAACCAGAAGTAGTTTTGCCGGTGAATTAGCAAGGGCAGCACAGGAGCTAGGAGCTGCACAGTGCCACCCAAGACACCTGGCAGAGCAGCCACACCAGCGCTGCAGCAGCTGGCTGAGCAGATGCTACCTGGGAGCCAGCCCATCTCTGCACACAGAGCTGGGGCTTTGGTGGGGAGGGAATCCCGGCACTGCCCTGCTTGCCAGGGCTGCACTGACAGCTGACAGCCGGCCAAGGCTGCGGGCAGACGGGCCAGCCCCAGCCTTCCAGCCATCCCTCACCTGGAAGGAGCTGCCAGGCCCCTCGTGAAGCCCCTCAGGACCCTACTCCTGCTGCTGCCAGGCTGGGGACAGGGCCAGCTCCGGGACACAGGGCCCTCCCAGACCCGGGCAGGGGCAGCAGGCTCCCGGCTGGGAGGCTGCAGGGCCGGGGGCCAGCGGTGCTCCGACTCTCCC